TTATTATTATTATTATTGTTGTTGTTGTTGTTATTGTTATTGTTATTATTACTAACTACTATTATAATTATTTATTTATTAATTTTTTTTATTTTTTTTATTTTTTTCAGACTGAAACTGGAATGAGTGAAGAAGAGCAGAAGAAACTTGCAGAGCAGTATGAAGAATATCAAAAGAAACTAGAACAACAAAGAGAAGAGTAAGAACACATTATCTAAAATGATTAATATTTTATTGTGGATAATAACATTGCGAGCTTATTGAAGTCACTTTGTCTTTTCCTTACAGGTACAAGACTGCCCACCCTGACAAAGTAAAGAGTCCTGAAACAGAGGTTACGCAAGTGTTGCTTGTTTGATTGAACTCCAGAAATGCTGAAATAATATAAGATGCTTTGTGTGAGCAGTTATTGTTATTGACAGAAAAACTGCTAACTGCACAAGTTAAAAGCATCTCAAATTCTTAAAATTCTTGTTTTACAGGGCTAGCAAAAAACTTGAAATCCATCTTGCCCTTCAGACAAGTAACTCTCAAATTTTGCTTGCCCTGGGCAAGTCTTAGTTTACTTTTTTTTACTTGTTGGCAAATGACTTGTCTGGGCCCTTGCCCATTGAGCAAGTGAGAATGAAAAGAATGAAAACGACCGGACAGCACTTTTTTCGAGCCCTGCTTGTAATCCTCGTGACTCTATAGATCCTCATGTCAAGGGTCATAGCCAGAAAAAATTATCACTGAGGCAATGTTATCTGTTTTTTTGTTTATTTGCTAGCAGTGTTTTCCTTTTCTCCTTCAAAACAAAATGTACCTATCAAGTTAATGAATCAGTTATGAACTCTGCTAAGCTTTTTCTATTCCCATTTACATTTTGGAGTAAAAGCCATTGTCTGTACACTGATTGTCAGTTTTTGTTTTCAGTATGAGAATGTTTACGAGCGAGACGTTCGTCTGGTTTATGAAGGTCAAAATGCAATTCACCAGATGATCAGGTGAGGTTGAACTGAAATAAGCATGAAACAAGTGTTTTGACAGTTAACTTCCCTATCATCTCAATTTACCTGAAACCAGTGGGCTATAAAACAAGACAAATTTGTTATTTAGTGCAGAAACATGTCCTATACCGTAGAATTCCGAAAGTAACAGGCCCCATTACTTTCGGATTTAGCAGGCAAAAGGGGCTGCTACTTTCAGGTAACCGTTACTTACGGGTAGTCGTTACTTTCGGATGCTTAAAAAACGTTAATTTGTACAGTAACAGTCCTTTCAGACAAAGCAGATGTGTAACAGAAGAAATCGAACATAAACAAAGTAGACTGTATAGACAAAAAAGGTAGCCCTAAACCGGTTGGTACTATGGGGCGAATCGACAGTATAATAATTGTTGCATTATGGCGCAACGCAACTGATTACTACGGTACATCATTTGACTCTGTTGCTACTGTAGACAAGTACAGCTTATAAATCATACTTTCAAGGAAAATTCAGTCAAGTTTGAAATAAAATCACAGGTACATGTAGGTCTTCAAGTAAATGTTCAGTCCTGCAGTCAGGCTGTTCCATCCGCATGACCTGCGGGCAAGAACAGACACTTTCTCTTTTATTGACTTCTTCAAAGGGCCGCTACTTTCAGGAGGGCCGCTACTTTCGGGGGAATGTGACTTTCGGAGTTCAATAGGAAAAGAAAAACTTAACGTTACTTTCAGGGAGCCGTTATTATTGGGGTGTTGCTTTCGGAATTCTACGGTATGGTGTTGTTTTTCAATGTGTATAATCCAAACAACCACGCATCCTTTAGGAACATATAATGATATTCCAATCATGTATTTAACTTATGTCTTGATATGTCTTGTAGCAACCTTCACACCAAGGTGGGTGAGTTAACAGTACAAGTAAACACATTGTACACTCTGGTGACCTCAGATCACAATCAAATTGGCCAGGTGGTTAAACACGACCAAACAATCAATCGACAAGAAGTGAACACTTTGATTAACATGCAACAACAGCTGAGTTCAAAACTACAGGAGATCAGGTAAGAACCACTCTAATATGATGCTGTGAATTTTATTTCATTTGTTCCTGTGCAAGAACTCATCACCACATGTGTCTTTTATAAAATGCAACACTGTATGAAACATTATGTGCAATAGGCCTTCCTTGACGCAGCCACACGCCGCAACAGTGTCACCTGACAGCACTGCAAGCAAGTTTTGGTGAACAAAAATAGCAATTATTAAATACTGAATGAAGAAGCCAAGAAGATTAAACCATGGTTATTTACTACCATTGCTGTCCTAGTAGAAAATTACGAATCACAGACATATTGTTTTAGTTTGAGAAAATGGGTGATAGTCCTGCCACGCCATTTCTTGAAATGTTCCTTATTTTGAACTTGATAAAAATTGCTGTGCAAAAGTCGAAAAAACAGAAAGATTCTTCCGATAACTGACTGGAGTTGCGTATCTCTAGTCAACCGTCAATGGGGATGACTCATTATTTAATTAATTAATTATACTCATTAATGTTGAGTCACCATCGGCAGAGTTCATATGAAAAACCTAACCTTAGTCAATGTTAATAATGTGAAATAACGGAGCCGAGTAACATTGCAGATATAGTTGAGGCCTTTATTATTGTGGTTTGATCTTTTCTTAACAGTAATTTAGTGAATCAAGGAGGTAATGTGGACAAAAGAGATGTTGGTGACTCTGCTGGTGTGACATCTAAACTCAGTGACATGCAGAATGCTATTGAGTCTCTGACTCATTCAGTCAACACTGTAGCAACTAAACAACAAGTAAGAATGCTTATCCTAAGATTTTCTTTCAAGTCTGGACAACTTTCTGCTTGAACTTTGCAGTTTGAGTAACAGTCCAAAGGAAAAAACCAAAAACCCAAAGGAAAAGAACTCAAGAAGCATATTAACCTTTTCCGTCCCCAGAAAGCACCTGCTACATGCTGTACGCAAGCATGGCTGAAAACAGTTTCCAGCACCTTCCAAGAAGTAGATTTTGATGGGTCATTATTTCCTCTCTTTATCAGTTTATGCTACAATCATGGTGTCAAAAAACTGCCCAATCATTGCTGAACACGGTATCATTTTGGTGACACAATAGGTTACCATAGCAGCAGCATGACCTGCTAAAACACCCTTAATTTTGGCTGTAAGTACTTATAATTTAAAAAGGGCATGGTGAAACCAGCTTTTATTATCGAATTTTGGTAGGCAGGATAAGATGTAACTTATGGCAAAGTTTGAAAAAAGTTATGATCATGGGGTTCATTGCCACCTTAACTTTTCGAAAATTTTCATGACTAACTCTTTACTTCTGACTTTTTTCCAGATGATTGGAGGGCAGGAGAAGAAAGACTGTCCCCCACCCCCTCCCATGCCCCAGTGTATAGGTCCTGGATATTTCGTGGTTTTAATCGTAGCTCAATTATTTATGTTGATTGGTTACATTGGATACAAGAATCAAAAGGAGGCTGCTGCAAAAAAGTTCTTTTAGGATTCTATCTTGAATTACCTTTCTACAAGCTACTCCGTTTCCATAACACAGACACTTGTGGGATGTTTGGAATCAATTGAAATTATTGCCCCAGGGCTGTTAGCGGGCTTGAATTGATCGCCGCGCAGTTAAAATAAACTTATACATTCATTAAAAAGTTTTAAAAACTTTTGTACTACGTACATCAAGCGATATTGAAAAGACAACTGAGCTGCTCTAAGGCTTTGATTGGTATCAATACATTCCTTAATGGGGAATTCAGCCGTAATATTAAAACGTTAGTCTATTTAAAGATTTGACAGCTTATCATCTGAGTGTTGATTACAAACCGTGCTGTTAGCAGCTTTTATCTAGTTTCTTGTTAAATGCTACAAAACCAACGATACCTCGTCGTTTGTACATGTTGTATGCATCAAGGTGTGGTCGTGTGTGTATAGGAGGAAAAGCGTTTTCTGAACAACATTGAATGGGACTTCTTTAGTATTCCACATGGTATATTTATATCATTAATTCATTATTAATCTCGCGTCTTTTATTCGAATTAAACCTAAATGACCGCCTTAATATACTTAATTAACTCAGAGATGGATATATTGGTCGAGGGAGATGTTTAGACTGAGAGTTTTTGCAATATAAAACTAACACTGACCCAAAAAGATCATGGCAGTCATGAAAAAATAACCAAACTGTTTCGAGATTTTTGGTTTTCAAATTGAGTGGAAAAGAGAGAGTACGACGTGAACTGTCTGTTAAAAAAAATTTCAAGCTCATTTCTTATTGGCTTTGAAAGTTATAATAAGATAATTTTTAGAGGACAGCTATACAATCGTATGATATAATACGTACCATTGTCAGTTTTACGATAACTGCAGAAATTCTCGCGCGCTCATGGGCTAATTTTCATTGTCAGTAAGCGGACAGACAAATGAATTTATAATTTATGCGATGCGTCAACGAGTGAGAGCGGGCATTTTGACAATTTGTTATCGTAAAAAAACAAACGTCAGTCTGCGGATCCACTCG